CTGATTTTGGAATTCAGGCGATGTTGGTTTTGTAGGAGGAGTTTGGGACGGATCCCTCCCTTTCACTGTTTTTTGGGAATAGACTAAATAATTGGAATATTTCTTGAAAGATTTGGTAGAATGCAGTAGTAAAGCTATCTAGTCTTGGGTTTTTCTGTGTTAGTTAGAAGAGTAATATTGATTAAATTTCTATTCAAGTTATTGTTCTGTTGGGTTTTTGATGTCCTCATGACTTATTTTATGGAGACACTGTATGCCTAGGAATTTATTTCTTCTAGGTTTTTCAATTTGTTGGCATGTAGCTGTTCATAATAATTCCTGATGATTCTTTTATATCTATGGTGTAAGTTTGCTGCTTTAATTTATTGATTTGAGCTTGCCTGCTGCCATGCAGCCACATTGCCCATGCCACTCTACTTTGTCTCTGTACCTTCTGCAGAATTTTGCCATTGGATTCTCTTTAACTTGCCCGCTGGAGAGTGCCTCATCTATCGCTCACTTGCTAACTCTCCAACCAAAATCATGTCTAAGTTCAACCATGTTTGTAGAATATTATTGATGTGTTTTCCTCTTGAAATTTTGCTTATCATAAGCCGTGGGATAATCTTTATCTGATCATACTTCGGGTTATATGTGTGCTAACTATATTTGGATATCCATATATTTCTCTAAATTGGAGAACTTTTCTATTTCACTGAAAAGGTTTTGTAAGTTATTCTTAATTCCCACACCTTCAGGAACTTTTAAGACTCCTATATTTGGCCATTGATGGTACTCAGTTAATCCCAAACACTGTTTTCAACCTTTATATTATTTCTTTTTGGTTTGGGATATTTTAAGAGACATCTCTTGTTAATCAGATTCTTTTTGCCTCATCAAATTGTTAAATCTTCCTACTACATCTTTTGACTTACTAAATGCTCCATTGCCAATATTTCTGATTTTTATGTGTCTGCAAAATTTCTCATCCATGTCATGAATTTATTTTCTTAGCTTTTTGTTGTTGCTGTTGCTGTTTTATTTATCTGAAAGAGTTACAGAGAGAGGAGAGTAGATTTTCCTTCACTGGTTACATCCAATGTGCTCATAATGGCCTGGGCTGGATCAGCTGAAAGCCAAGAACTTTTTTCAGATCTCTCAAATGGGGGCCCCAAAACTGGGGCCATCTTCTGCTTTTTTTGAGGTCATTAGCAATGAACTGGATCAGAGATAGAGCAGTTGGGATATGAACTGGTACTCACACAGAGGCTGGCATCACAGACGGTAGATTTACACACCACAACACATAACTTTGTTGTGTATTTTTTTTGAAGATTTATTTATTTATTGGAAAGTCAGATATACAGAGAGGAAAAGAGACAGAAGATCTTCCATCCGATGATTCACTCCCCAAATGAGTGCAATGGCTGATGCTATGCCAATCCGAAGCCAGGATCCAGGAACTTCTTCTGGGTATCCCAACATGGGTGCAGGGTCCCAAGGCATTGGGCTGTCCTCGACTGCTTTCCCAGGCCACAAGCAGGGAGCTGGATGGGAAGTGGAGCTGCCAGGATTAGAACCGGCGCCCATATGGGATCCCAGCGCGTTCAAGGCGAGGACTTTAGCTGCTAGGCCACACCTCCGGGCCCAACTTTGTTGTGTCTTTGATTAACTTTCATTCTCTTAAATTCTTTTTCAGGTACGTATGTTCCTCTTATCAGATATATTGCTTTCCTTGTGTTTTGTGTGTGTGTGTGTGTGTGTGTGTGTTCATGTGGATTTCTGGTCCTTTGGGAGAAATCTTTTTCATATCTCCTGAAAGATGGTGTTTTTTAAAAAATTATTTATTGGAGGTTTCTTTCCTGGAAATGTGCATATGGGACTTGTTGGAGCGCAGGAAGCTTACACCTGAGTTCCACGGGCATATACAGGGTGCAGCCAGGGTGGGATGAGAGTGCAAGGTGACATCCAAGTTGGCTGTTGGAGCAAGCCTCTGGCAATAGTAACCTACAGCTCATGACCTCTCGGCTCTGTGACCTCTGTGGCTGCTCCCTCCCCTCATGCTGCCCTGTCACAGGAAGCCTCTGGAAGCAGTGGGACTGCCCTTTGTTGTCTGAGTCAGGAAGCTTTCAGCTGCAGCGTTGTCTCAGCAGAACGAATCTGGCACTTGGATGGGAGAGAGATGGCATGAACCCTCCTCATGGACCCAGCAGGTCCTCAGGCCATATTCAAGGCCAGTGAGGAGTACAGAATTGTCCCTGTCAAGGCCTGCATTGCAAGGACAACACTTCCCAGCCAGGAGCTGGCTGGTGGCAGCATGGCCTCTCTCCTCACTGCTGTAACTAATGGAGTCTGTCTATTCTCCTTCGGCATTTTCCCTCGGTCGCTGGAAATCTGATCCTTCCTTTTCCTGTTGTTCTCATGTGACTGAGGGCCAATCCAGCACTCACTATTCCACCTCCTTGGATTCTTTTTCCTGCTCTCTAGTCATTCCCTAATCACTTTAAATAGCTCAACATATGTTCCTTTATAGAAAACCTTTCCTGTTATGCTGTGTTATCTGCATCTAAACAAGATGCTCCCTCAAAGTGCTAACCAGACATTGTTTTTCTTTTCTCTCCTACAAGTTTTGTGATGGTTCCCCCTCCCTCCCATATATTTTGTGGTGATAAAATACACATCTACTTGTTGGATCTGTCCAGCTCTTGGAATAAACTTTAGCACAGAGTAGGTGTTCATTTGTTACTGAAGGGATGCATCAGTCAATCCTGAGACCTCCTGGATTAAGACGTAGGATGTGCCATAGAGTTCCAGTGTTCGTTACAAAATCCCTATGGCAGAACACTATATGAGAATTAGGACATGCAAGTGCCAGGATACATCTTGAATTCAGGGCAGAAATAATACCGTTAATAGACTCTACTTCTTAAACTTGTGCACTTTGTGTTTATGTCTGCCCCAAGAAATTCAGCACCACTCGGATGTTGTGGTAGTTAGAAATAACGGTAAAACTAACTTATTACATCAGAAATGTCACTCAGAATTGTTGTTTATCATCCTAATAATGTCATTTCCTTTCCTTAGCATAGGATTATGCCTGTTCATTTTCTGTTTCTTTAGAGCTTCCTCCAGCTTTTTGGTCCATTACAACCTCAGAGATTTTCATAATTTATCAAGAGGTGCGTTCGTGTTCATAACTGACAAACGTAATTTCCTCACCATTTTAATTCCTGTAGCAAAATGTATTCTTTCAGTTACCTTCAGGGCTTACTAAAGTTCTCTTTATTTCCAAATGAGTCAAAACAGTGTCCCCGTGGAAATCGACAATCTGAACTAACACGATATCAGCACCACTCTTACAAGCTGGGTTGCCTGGCTCCAAAGTCTGCTTTTTCTTACGACATCAAAGGTGTTTGAACCAGGTCCACATCTTTCCATTGGTTTTCATTGCAATAAAGCCACTTGAAGTATGATGCTAGAATTAAAAGGAAATCACGGAGCAAATCATTCGCAAGCTCTTAACTTCTACACTTTTGTATAAGCCATACACTCTTGTATATGCTATAACTACATTCAGAATGATTCATCTTCTGTTGAAAATATCTTAAACAAATAATCCTATTTTGATTTTTTTCATAACACATCTGAAAATGTTAGCAGGCTAATTTGGTCTTACATTATCATTTCTTATCATAATGAAAGGCCATTTAAATATCTGGCTACCAGACAAAATGAGTTATGCATCGTTTCACTCATTCTGGCTTTGATTCTGGAAGAACAATAGGCGGTGTTCCAAGAGTTCTGATTGCAGAGTCTTATCCCAGCCTTGGACCCAGAAGTGTTCGTGACTGAGCCATGCTGCCCAAGACACTGCAGGGCGGCAATAGAAAGTAACAGGTATCCTGGCTCAAACCCCTGGGACCCATGTGACAGTCTGATTCCTTTCCATGAAGACATAGCCACTTAGCACTGCCCTCTGTGGAAGTCTGGTGACACTTGACAGGCCTTGCTCAACTTTCCAGTCTGCCATTTAAAATTCATCTCGGGATGGGAACTCTTCCACTTGGGTCCTCTACCAAGAATCAAATCCTGTGCACTGATATGACAAGTAGTCACCAGGGTCTCAGAATTCTGCAGTGATATTTACTTCCTTCTTTCATAAAAATATTTTTATTTGAAAGGTAGCTTTATAAAGAGAGAGATTCTCCCTCCACTGGTTCATTCCTCAAATGGCCTCAACAGCTGGAACTGAATTGATATGAAGTCAGAAGCTTCTTCTGGGTCTCCCATGTGGGTGCAGGGGCCCAGGGACTTCAGCCATCTCTTTGTGCTTTCCCAGGCCGTAAGCAGGATTAGACTGAAAGTGGAATAGCCCACGTCAGATGCCAGTGCTGTAGGCAGAGGATTAGCCCACTTCCTCTTTTTAAGGAAGGCGCAGGGGAGTCTGAAAGTCTCACTGTGACAAGCAAATGGAAAGAAAGAAAAGCTGAATAAAACATATCCATATAAACAACCTCATGATACTGTTAACTTTTGTGATTTTTTTTTTTTTTTTTTTAGGAATTCTTTCATGTTCTGGTTTTGTACCCAGAAAAAGGCCTGATATAGAAAAAAAAAAGCAAGCAACACTTAGAATTTTTCCAATAGGTAATGCTACATTCCTTGCTCATTTGGCTATAGGGAAACTAGGACTCATTTGGAAATGGAGAACTTTAAAAAGACTTGAAGGTAATTGAAAGATACATTTTGATACAGGAATTATCCCCTTATTAGTCTGAGCAGGCTGAAGAACAAACACTAGACTGACAACCAGAATGTGCATCTGAGTGGCTAACCAATTGCAAATATTTTACTTAGTCTAAACAGAAACTCACTTGTGACCCCTCAGTCATGCCCCTGTTAGGGTTTATCTTGGCACACGAGGCACTGAAAAGCACAAACATGTCTAAATGGCACCACATCGTGATCCTTCAAATATTTTTTGCCCAGGAAAAGCTTAAAACAAAGGACATGAGCCAGGATACATTTTGTGATAACTTTTTTCTTCTCTTTAGAAAAAAAAATATGTACAAAAAAAGCTAAGAAGAGCCAACGTGGGAATTGTCAAGAAAACATTCTGATAGGTACAGACAAAGGAGCTCCTTCTCACAAAGGAGTTACACATCAGCTTTCATCATGCTAGAAAAATGAGATGCAGTTAAAATTCAACAGCAGTTAAAAGCCAGAGTCCAGATGCTACTCTGGGGCTCTATGCTGTAGATGCTCTGATATCCTTTCTGTAAAATAATACTGTGCAAACTGTAAAATATTCATTTTCATATAAAGTCCATACAATATGATATACAAAACTGTTGAGTTGACAGGGAAGGCTGGTGCTGGCTGCTGCTTGGAAGGGAGGATGCAACGTTGTGTCTGTCCATGGCATGATTCCAAACTCGTGATTCCAAAATCTTGAACTTCTCAGCTGGGCAAGGCTACTGTTCAGGAAAGAATCCTAAAACCCAAACACCAAATCAAAGATTCTCTGCCAATTATTCCCATAAATAGGTAACTTTTCTAATACTTTAACTTTGAATGCGACAACTTATTAAGACATCAGAATGCAAAGTTCTTTTTTGAAGCTCGCACGCTCTCCTATTTATACAACTGATTTTGGGATTTGCCATAACCAACATTCTCCTTCCTGTGACTCAAAAGTTTAACTTTCATTAAAATTAAAAAAATTCTGGAGGAGGCAGCAGCTGTGATAATAAAAAGTTAAAATGAATCATTATATTTTATTTCTGTGTCTATAAAACTGAGAAAAAGTTTGTGTACAAATATCACAAAACAACATCAATCATTGAATAAATGTGGTTCTTCAATGCACACTTGAACAAGGAGAAAATTTTGCGGATTTTAAAATTCTGGCATAAATATATTAAAGCTGACCAAAAAGAAAAAAAAATTCAGGGCAAGCTACATCACTTCCTCATTTTACAAAAATGTACAAAACATTACCCTCTAACTAGATAAAACAGAATATTTTTCTTCACAGTTTGATATTGGGTAACTGTGTGTTTGGAAATACTGAACTGGAAGGAGGTTGAAAACAGCTTGGGACATGCCAGCCATCTCAGGTGACTTCAGTCATGGAGGCAGAGTGATTCTGCAAAGCAAACACAGACAACACTTTAGCGTGCATGGACCGACTGGATAACCCCAGCTCATCCTGAATACTCACTTCCCGTCCTCTTAAATGTGTAGACGCTGTTCCCTCTCCCCAGAGTACAATTCCATAGTCCTTCCCAGTCTGTTACTCGCCCATCAAATGATCTTTTTTCAACTAAGTCTATTTTCATCTACACTTCTTCCTCCTATACAATTCTGTCCAGTGTAAATGGTTGCTACTATGAGCATTCAAGGATATAAAATCAAGTACATCCCACACATACATATTTAGCAATTTCAATTAAAATTTCCATATGGTTTATTCTTCTGGAGTCAGGAGTTCTACAGAAGTAAACTTAGTATTTCCAAAGGGAAAGGGAGGGGTTTGTAGATTGATTTTTTTTTTTTAATTGTTACAGGGTCATTGACTTTCTGATGGCTTGCTTCATGGTCTTGTACATAACATTTCATGTGCTTTGAGAACCATATACGATAGTTATCCGTCTTAATCATCCATATGCTTGCTATTTTCTGTTTGACCATGAGAGAAATGTGCTAAACAATCTTTCTGTGATCACAGACTCACCTCACTTACCATTCTTCCTTATAATTCTGTTTATTTTGGTATCTGGTGATGTCTGTGTAATCCCAGTCTTAACAGATCGAAGACCTTACCTTTTGTTTAAACTTAGAACACAAAGCTCTGGATCTATGGAATTGGTAAAGAAACTGTAGGGCTTTTGAATATATTGCCACAGATTTTCTGTTTACTGCTAGTTTTTTAGGTCACTGGGAGTTTATGTGACATTTTTGGGAGCTCAGCTATACATTTTAGCAACTAAGTATTTTGTATTTTTCAAGACACTCTTCTACTTTTGAAACTGAAAGTTTTATGCATTTCTTTGCATAGGGCAAAATATAACTTTCTACTTATACATTTATTCTTGTAATATACTTCTAATTCATTTGACCAATTCTTAGTCCATTTAATGTTTATAAAGCTCCATTTAAGTGGTAAGAATAAGGTAATTCAATATCCTAAGATAGCTGGATAAGAGACTTTGGCTAGATTTCTTTTATTCTAGCTTTTGTTGTCTCAATTTATAACAAGTCTATAATATCAGAGTTCTGAATCAAGGGTCCATCAAAGTATTTAATTGTTTCACCATGAATCTGCTGAGTCAGTTGCTTGGGGAGAAGGTACAGGCAACTTTGGTCTTACCACAGATTGGCGTCTTCTACCTCCTGTTAAAAAATTTTTTTTTTCTTCCTAAACAGAAGGCATAGGGAGACTTATCACATCCAGAATGAGTTAAGATAATCGCTTCATTTCTAATTCAATTTTCCCATTAACAGAAATTGCCTTGTTTATAGGGATGCAATTGTTCAACTCTAAGTATGCGTGCTCAAATGAATGTGGGCATTGGGGTATACAATGTGGATAGCAAAAAGCTAATTTCCTTAAATGATACGAACACTAGGATCATACAGTAATGCTTTGGAAAGTTAACCATTTTGTGTTTTTCTATAATTTTTGTGTTTTATTTTTCTTTAGTGCTTGGGAAACATTTTGAGAAAATGTACCTGCTTAACCAACAGGAATTACAGAAAGTAAACCAAATTTGTGTTAACCTTAAGAGCTCACTGTAGTTTCTGAGGCTTTATGAGCAAAGGGCGAAACCTGTCTCAGCAGGAAGTAAAGGAAGATGCCAGGGTCTCTTTCCAATCTGCTCTGCTCCTTAAAGAATTCAGAATAGGGGGGTGGATTTAATGTGCATAAACATGTGCTCTGAAGACAGGGTCTAATCTTAAATCCCAGATATCTACTTCCCAAGAAAATAGTGAAATTCCAGAAATCTCAAAGAAGTAGCTGTTTACAGGTTCCTTAATAAACCACGAGTACAGGATGTACAGAGAAAGCTCTTGTTCAACAGGGAAAAGCACAGAAAATATTTACTTCGGCACTATAGCTCAAGTCAACCATACCAGCACATGCGCATGCTTGGATTTTCATTGCTAAGGATTGCAGACTTCATCAAGGAATTTTGTTTGAATGAAGTCTCAGCTATTGAACAAGCAGGGTCTTTCCAAGTAGATTGATCTTGTTTTATTTTGACAGGATGGAAACTTGGCCATGTTAAAGGCTTTGTGTCTTTCTTCAACCCTAAGAAAGGACAGCACCCATTGCATGATTGTTGTGAAGATTGAGATGGTGATCTAAGAATGCCAGTTGTCTTTATGCAAACAGCAAATACGGGGCTCTTATTAACTGTCTTTGTGAAAGCATTCAACGAATTAAAAGCAGATGCCTGGTAACTGGAATATTCTGTCACCAGTGAAACTAGCGTAACTTAAGAGGCAAGCCTTCACAGTCAACCTCCTATCGCTGAATTTTGACTTAGCCGACCCCAATTCTGGTCATTGCTGTTTGTAAGTCTTTTTTGCAGTGGAGGGCTTCCTACAGTGACTGTTCCAATTTGTTCCAATTTGGGTCCGACCAAAGTGGCTAGTTCAGGTCTAGCATCCTTCCAGACCATCCCAACATTTCATACTCAGTGGATTCCAGGAAATATGGACAGGAAGACCTGATTTATAGGATTCAAATCTCCAAAGATGTCAAAGTCTTTTGGGGGAAGCAGATATGAGAAGCATCAGTGACTTTAATTCTGAAGGACAATCATATGAAGGATATTGAGGGATTTTGGCCCAAACTTAGTATTTAGAATGGCCTCAAATAGTATATAGAAGTGACAGACACAGCTTCAAATGTACTGTGATAATTCAACAAATTAGAAAGAAGCTCAACTATTGCCGATACAGAACAATTAATTTACACACACATACGTACACGATTCAAGAAGTTCATGGAAAACAGAATCAAAAGATTTATTTTGATGCATACAATTCCGAAATCCGTGCGAAGTCTTTTTGTGATGGACTTTCTGTAGAATTAGTATGTGTGTGATTTAAGAACTTTTTATGTATCTTGAAACAGCACTTTTTGAAGCTCTTTGATACCTAATTTTCAATATAAGTAAAATCTTTCAAACATATCCTGGACATCCCTTGGCCTGATCAGCTGTGGATGGTCTTGAAGAACACAGAAAGAAGTCTGGGCAGGCTTGTCCTACAGGGTGATGCCTGAGTGGACAGGGTAGGACAATGGCATGTAGAGGAGCTAATGTTACCAGGGTTTACAGGACACAGCATGCATGTGGAACTGTGAATATTTTCTGTTCACTTAATTTATCTTCAGCTACTGCATCACAAAAGTAGAGAACCTACTCTGACCTCTGGAAATAGGAATGTGATTAGGGAAGACAATCTAGACTTTATTTTGCCATATCATCACAAGGTATTGTTTACCAATTTGTCATCTATCTGCCATCACTTGTCACTACAAAAACAAAACACACAGTAAAAACCCATTACACACAAAATACACCTAACTAATCTCAACTTTCCACAGACCCCCAGAAATCCAACTCCCACGCCCCCCCCAACATGCGCATATCAGCGCAACCAGGCTCACCTATACCACAAAACCCCCAATGGGGGCCTAGCAATGATGAAGCCACCCGGATATAACCACCATAATCACTATAAAATGTATTCAAAAACAAACAGAATATGGCTAAGCTACAGATATCTAATATTCTTTCAATGAAAAGAAAATGCCACAACACCAACCCAACACCATCACATATCAATGTCCCCCTACATAAAGAAACTTCATTACCCAAACACACATATAGTCACAGCAACTATCCCAAGTTATTAATAATACAATCCACCAATGACTACTCAATTCTTTAAAACACCTCTTAACCATTACCCTTCCCAACCAAAGTATTCCCCCCCAAATACCACCAATACCATCACTTAATCAACCCTCTAACAAATAACATGATCAAACCGAAAGAAAACCTTGTAAAACACAAAACAACACCCCAACTCACATACATCCCAACCAAACATAACCTTACAACGAAACCCTCAAAAAACACACACCACCTCAAAATACCATCAAACACTGAACATTTCAGCTGGCAATATAGTACCCCAGGCTTTCCTTAACTTTTTAAAGTAGAGTTAAAAATTCATTTGTGCTCACACAGTACACTGGAATAAGATTCATTACATCCTGTTGCCAGGAACTTACTCCCTGCTCGTCTGAATTCTTTCAAGACAATGACTATGTGTTTCCGTGGCATGAAGCAAGGTTCTATTGTGGAATAACTGATGGAGAAGTATCATTAGAGATTTTTTATTGTGTCAACTATATGGATTCAAAACAATGCTTTAGTAGATTGTTGCATGTGCCTCCAGTTACACAAATATAGGCTTTCTTTCCAAATGTAGTTGGCCCTCTGTATCTGTGTTCACTCATTATCACCAAACATGAATCTGAAACATTGGAAAAAACTATCTCAAGTTATACAGAATCTTTTCTTGGTTATTAGTCCCTGGATAATATGGTGTGACAACTATTCACCATTTATATTAGGTTTTGTAGTTAATCTAGGGATAAATGAAAGAATATAGGCTGCCACACATCTATTCAGATAATATAACACTTTATGTAAGGGACTTGACTGCTCAGATTTGTTTGTGTTCAGAGGGCTTCTGAAACCAATCCTCTGCATATACTGTGGAACAGCTATGTGGTACTAGATGCTAAATCAAGTAATCTGTGCTATCAGTCCAGTCTCAGCGATGTGATAGTACAAGGAAGTCAAAGTTTCTGGAAGTAGCTGGAGTTTGAGTTAGATGTTTGTAAGAATTTTCTGAATCTTCATGACTGCAGATCCCTAGAAAAAATACAGGGTTCATTGAGAGAGCTCTTAATACTTTTTGATACATCCGATCTTAATGATGTGTGCATTTATTGGTGTCCTACGTCCAGGAGGGGAGTGGTTTGGTTGACTTGCCAAGGTTAGAGGGTTGAGTCTGTGGGTTTAGTTTGCTGCTTTCACTGTACCTGTGCACTTAGGGTTTCCAGAGGGCTTTCTATTCTTGGGAAAGCCATTAGGGCTACTCCACGTGAATCCTCGGATTTGGGCTTGGAAGGAGATCCTTGTGTTCCTTTGAAGTTATGGACCACACACATTCCCTGCAGAGAGAGAGAGAGAGAGAGGAAAAAGACTGGGGTCAGACCAAAGCTGTCTGTGCCTGGCCATTGCAGAGTGGCAGACCTTTCTCCTTGGAGGTCATCATTGCAGTGACATTGCAACATTGCTTTCTGCTGAAAACAGTCCAAACACCGAGAAAACATCTCATTCGTTATCAGAGAGTAATCCACTTCGTTGAGCCTATGTATTTACCTGTAAATACTGAACATCATGTGATCTCATCAATTTTGTAACAAAGGGTGACTGTAAGTCAACTCATAACAACTGACACTTGAGACAGACACCGTGTGTCTGGCTGTCCCTTTGCGATTTACCCCATTTCACCTGGACCTGCCCAGACTTCTCCATGGGAAGTACTGTTACCCTCCAGCTTAGATGCCGAAGCACAGAAAGGTTAGACAACTTGACCCACAGACACATAAACTCCAAGACGCCTAACTCATACCACTGTACTATTTTACCCTTCACAAGTGCCAAATTTTAGCAAGTCCTCAGTCAATGTTACAGCTGGTCTTTAACATCTATCTAATATGCTCCTCGTCAGAACGTGTGATTATTTGCTTGGATGACCATTTTCTCTGTTCCTTCTGTCCACATGGAGTTTCTATGCCTCCCCACTTCATACATTCTCTCACTGTTCCCCACCTTTATTTCTGTAACTAGTGTCTTGGAGTCTTTCTGCAAACCCTGCAGATCATGAACATGAACCCATTCTACCGGACTCCCCCGCAGGTCATTCCCCAGTTCTGGTGAAACTTCTCCATCCAGACAATGAGAGATGGGGGGGCGGTATATGAACTCCAGAGTTGAGAGACCCAGGGTATGTCCAGGGCGTGTTGGCTGAGTAATTGTTGAACCAGTGACTTACCTTGTACCTCACTTCCCTCATCAATCAAATGAAGATAAAGTGTTGCAAGGGCTGCGTGGTGTGTGTGTGTGTGTGTGTGTGTGTGTGTGTGCATGCGTACAGGGGCCATCATGACAGCTCAGATCAGCTGCTGCCTGGGATGTCGGCATGCCATGTTGCAGAGCTGACTTATGGCTATTCATTTTCCAGCTCCCGCTGATGCACCTGAGAAAGCAGCATAAAATAGCTTGAGTTTCTGGGTCCCTGCCAACCACGTGGTAGATGAAATTCCTGGTCCCTGGCCTGGCCTCACCCTTGCTGTTGAAGCCTTTTGGGCACTGAACCAGCAGGTGGAGGCTCTTTCTGGCTCTCCCCCTCTCCCAAACACAATCTTTAAAATGCCTATGTGTACAAGGCACATTATCATTGTTCAAGAAATCACTTCCCCTTTCTCCTACAGTACTGGTCATGGGAAACACAAATGTGTCAGATGATCATGTAGGTAGATAGTATGCCGACATTCTGAGTTTTTGTTCCTTTGTGCTCCCTGTGTCCAAGTCCTGGCTCTGAGATGCCTGCCACCTGTCCATGCCAGTCTTGCCCACCCTCCCTAATCCCCAGGGCAGAGCAATCTGTGAGTGTGTGCACAAGCAGGAGCACACACAGATGCAGGTAGGAAAGTCGGTCGAGCCAGGGCAGTTCAGCAACAAGGCTGGAGCTTTAGGAATGGCTACATGTGCAAAACAAATTTAGCCATATTAGTTGGAAAATCACTTGAGAAAAGCATTAAACAGCAGCTGATTGTTGGGAAATGGGGCTACCAGATGTTGAGGGAATACAAGTTTATGTGATGGCGGAATCTTGATTCGGCACATACAAAGTCTTAGGAAATGTTTAGGACATTCAGAATTGCTCTTTCTTTTCCACTGGGCTGGATGGCTCCAGAACGAACTGATCACTAAACAAGTTGGCGCTTCTTTAGGAGCAAAGCCTTCACTTGCATGTCAGTCATTTTCTTTAGGAATCCTGTCTTCTGAGGTCGCCTATAATATGCGATGTATATATGTGTACATACATACATAGACACATGGAAGAATCTGTTGGAACTGCACGATTACAGAGGGAGAGACAGAGTGCGATCTTTCATCTGCTGGTTCACTTCCTATGTGGCTGCTTCAGTCAGGCTTGGGCCAGGCCTAAACCAGAAGACTAGAAGTACGTCTGGGCCTCTCATGTGTGTAGGGACCTGAGCAGTCAGGCTGTCTGCTGCTGCCTTCCCAGGCACATCAGCAGGAAGCTGGATGAGAAGAGGAGCGTCTAGGACTGTAACTGGCATGCGCATGGGAGGCCAGCAATGTAGGTGGCGGTTTAATCCCAGCCTCTGGGACTCATCACTTGCTGTGGTTTCCAGCACGAGAGGGAGAGACAGCGAGGCTGACCTACCAGGAACAGGGCCACTGCAGTGCCCACGATGAAGCCCGCAATCACGTCGGAGCAGTGGTTCCGGTACTCGGAGACCCGGTTGAGGCCGGTCAGGAAGGCTGTGCAGAGGGTCCCGAGGCATAGCACCGGCTTAGCCAGTCGGCTGCTCTTCGTCTTGATTGTGCTTGTGATGTACATCTGGGGGAGGATGGAGGTCGGCAGTGAGCAGGCTGCCTGCTTGGACTGTGTGTGCACGTGTGCATGTGAGTGTGCTTGCACATTTGCACATTCACCCGCACACACGTACAGGCAAGGGGCTGTGCCAAAGCAGTCACACCAACTAGCTTCCCATGAACAAGTCCATGAAGCTACTCAGAAAACAAAAACCGGATAGGAAGTTAGTGCAGCAGCCACAATGATCAGATGTGCATCAATTTGAGCTCTAGTGGGCATGGGATCAGAAGCACAGGGATATAAGGAACAGATGCACAACAATGCTCAGATTTAAAACAATACTTTATGCAGCAAATCAGACTGATTCAGGGGGTACTGAGAATTGGAACAACTGTACTTTCTCCTTTAGGTGTCCCCCAGCCCTAGCTGCTTCACACAGTCAGGCAATAACGTAAGTGCTGATGGTCCTAGTTGCACCTTGTAACCACTCTGACTCAGGGAAATGTCTCAGTTGTAGTGGGAAATACATCCTTACATCCCTTGGGATACCTGTAATTGGCTCTACTTTTAGTGAGTTTAAAAATTCTAAATGCTCCTGTGTGTGCCACAGAATATTGAGAACATTTAAGGAAAGGAAAATGGAAATTGTGATTCCTGAGATAGGAAGTTTGTGATGAGTAGGGTGAAAACAAGTTACATGGGCATAATTATTAAGACGGAACGGTCTCACCTCTGAAGCAATAAATGCAGTTAAAACGCCATTGTAATAGCTACAAATAGCCACCAGAGGGCAACATTGATCCATCTTTAAAAAAAACAAACATGCTGAATTTAGCAACTCTGATAAAATGCACTGATCCTAAAAAGAAAAACTACAGTGCTTGTATGGCCTGAGTACCCAACTTCAAATAGATGCATTTTATAACACTGCAATTAAATATTAACTTAGTGTAGTGAGGCTTCAACATTTGTGTGAACACCAAAAATGCAATGTTCTTCAAGTATCAAAGCTAGTAAAGGTAAAGAAATTATGACCTAGTACTGCGCTATTCTGAGAATATGTGGAAGATCTTACTGGGAATGTTTTTTTGAAGGCTCCTATTGTGTCCTTTAATTATATATTTAAAAAATCTTTTCATAGAAGATGACAAACTGTGAAGGTTCATGTCCTTTTATAATGTGTCGAGGAAATCGTCGCTATTTTTCCTCCGCGTGCAGCAGAGGTTCAGAAAATGTATGCGTGGGATTTTCGCATCAGTTTGTTGATTATGAACTGCAATTTGTGATTTGAGTTGGATTACATGTGAATACTTGAAAATGCGTGCTATGGCAGCAGCCAGTCTCTGACTGCAGAGACGCCGCCTCCCCCTGAGGAGCTAAAATCCCACTGAGCAGTAAGTTGAGTGTGACGTGAAAATACAGGAAAAGTCACAAGAGGACACTTCATGCAGGTGAGGTTCTAGATACTTTAGAATAAACTGACATTCTGAGAAATGGAAAATCGGTATTTCAGAGGACTTTGTCTTAAAAAAATGTTAGTGTGGATTTTTGTTATGCTGTCTAACCTATAGCTGTCCTATTTTGTTGAGGATTTTGTGTTGTTTTTCTTAAGGTAGGGGTACCTGAAATCATTAGATTAAAATGAAATAGCGAATCTAAAAGGAATAAAAAGGAGATTGACTCACACTGGAGTTGGTGGTTGACAATCGGATAATCTAGATATATTAATGGGACGCAGTGGCCACTATCTATTCCCAGCTATTTATAAAGCAGCCCGACACCTTGAACCTGAAGTTGATCACCTTTTCTTGTGCTGACAGGGACCTGCCTCCCTCTAAGGCAGAAAGTGCTCCCTTGGGGTCAGTGCATCGCAACCTGGAGACTGGGTCAGGCTCACCCACAAAAGCTGGGAAGAACGGGCACTGGGAGAAGAATGTTCCCTCTGCCTGCTCCTCTCCTGCTGTTCACCAGGGGCTGGCCCCTCCTGAATACAAGCCAGGCTGAAGTAAGGAATGTCTTCACGGGCGGGCGAGTGCTAATGCCCCCAGGGCTCCTGAGATACCCCCACGTAGAACTTCTGAGCTGCTCCGTGCGCTTGCGACAGAACACATCCTGCAGTGCAAGCTGAGATGTGGCCAGTTCCCACGTGAGTGCGGCACGATGGGAGACGGGCTCACGGCCTTTTCCTTCAAGATGAGCAACCCCGTGTGGAGAACATGCCGCCCCAGTGGGGCAGCCCGAAGTGAAGCAACTTGGGGAGGGGCAAAGGAAGTGACCTTCTGGGCGTTGTGATTCTAGGATCGCCCTGTGAGGGGATGGGGAGCGTGTCCAAGGTGGCAAGGGGAAGCGGGGTGTTTATTCCCATCTGCACGTGTGGCTGCACATCTGCAGGCAGGCTTGAGAAGGAGGTGGTGTTCTAGAATAAACCATGACTTCGGTAGAGGGTTCTGTTATGGGTGGTGAGAGAGTCCCAGACATGGTGCCAGGAACCTGAGTCTCAGCTTTGAGTGGGCGTTCTTGGCAATTCTCTGAGTAGTGTTGGTGCCTATAAAATATAAGGCTGTAACTAGGGAATTATCAACATTCTGTTCAGAACTAACATCTGGCATGTCAGGGTCTTACACTGGCATGTTGGGAGGGGATCAGGGTAGGGGGACTGTGCTATCAAGGATATGATGTAACACAGAGACAGTTTACAGATTGCACACAGCGTCACACATCATTACAAGTGACTGTGATACGGGAGGTAGAGGGCAGAAATTGGAATTGGGAGAGGTAGGCGGACGTTCACTCTCACCGTGGCGTATAAGGCGGAGTAAATGCTCAGTGCTGCATGCTTGGAGGGAAAGGATCGCCGAGCCTTTTCTATCACTGCCAGGTCCCCGGTGCAGATATTCCCGTTGTTGATGAATTGGTGGTGCACTCGGCAGTCTGTACTAGTGTAGTTTGGCTTGCACACGGTCAGGAAATACGGCGTGAGGTGTCCTGTGACCACTTGTCCAGCATTCACAAAAATGTCAGTAGCAAAAAGTCCAAATGCGAACACCCCTACAAGGAGATTGAAAAGAATCAGGAATAGTGACATGCTAGAGGACACAGCAGCGCGTACCCAGGATGACCTGCCAAAGAATTCCACACCTTGTCTCCTCAGCTTTACCTGCCCAGGGAGGGCTGCCTGCTACCCAAGCCAAGGCAGACATTCTGCTATTAAGACCTTACTGCTTTGTGTGCATAATTTAGAAGGAGTGTAGACCACTGGAACGAACATGAGTTTCAGATTCATACAGATCAAGGCTTTGATCTCCTTTGGTGACTTAGAGTATGTTGCATTCTGTCTTTGGTTCCTGGGACCGTTGTTTGAGAATGGAGGCAGCTTGAGAAGATGAAATATGATACAAGCAAGACACCTTCCATGGTGTCTGATTTTAATTATTCAACAGTTATGTTTTTCCTTATGTAGACGTCATCCCTAGTCCTACTTGGAAATACAAACTCTCCTAAAAGCAGTTACTTGACAGCCTTGTTAGAGTAATTGGCCTTGGAGAATAATTGAGAATAATTTTAAGGAGCTGTCCCTACAGGAGAAGCAATACTTTAGAAATCTTTCATTGTCTCGAATATTTTATTTGATACTGACAGCAGAAGCTGAGACTGTGGGGAAAGATAGGATGGTAAAGACGGTGTGTTGATGGTGTTAGTTTCCCATTGTTGCTGGAATCAACTATGGGAATAAATAAAATAATAAGATGTCCATCGAATGTCCTGGGAGGTTCACTAGGGCCAACCTTGATACATGGGCCATGCTGTGTTTGTTCTGGAATCTCCAGCATGGAACTCACTGCTGTCACTTGCCAGCTTCTGCAAGTCACCTGCCTTGTTAAAGTCTTTGCTGCTTTCACTGGCATTATCATCTCTTTCTTTGACCCTCTGCCAGTCCTCATTAGGGCATCTGCATAATCCAGGATAATCCTTCCACCTCAACAGCCTCATTTAAGCATATCTGTAATTCCGCTTGGTAATGTAAGGTAATGTACTTGGTTTCCAGGTTCCTAGCCATGTCTTGTTGAGTGAGAGAAGGTGTTATTCTGAATTCCTTGAATCCTCTGGGTAGACTAGCTTTCTGGGTCCTATCTGGTCTCTGGAAAATTCCAAAGCCTTAGTCCTCAGGTTTGAATACAAACAGAATTCTTTGTAAGAAGCTTCTCTAGGAACACCTTCCAGGCTGTGTATTATGTCTGAAGAGGATGTGCTGACTCTATGAAGAGAGGCAGAGTAGAACCACCGTGCTGTGACGCCTCTCAGGGATGATGGAGGCTTCGCATGCCAATGTGAGAGGAAGCCTCATGATTGGTGCAAACGTCCAGGATCTACTACAGTCTCCGTGCCCCCACTGCTGACTCCCATACCCGCTTTGGGCAATCTGGCCATTGTGCTGATTTCAGCATCCAAAAGTTAATCCATTTTAGCATCAGTGAAGACAAGTTTGGCTGGAACCTTCACCCGCTTTTCATCTTGATTGGTATTGATTGCAATAATTTCCCCTTTTGTGGTTCTGCCAGCATGTGCTTTATCCCAGGGAAAGCTGGCTCTTGTTTAAACAGCCTCAGCCAGCTCACACTCACAGGCTCTGACCTCGGACAGCAGGCATCCATTGATCATTTGTGGCAGTTTTCCACCCTGGGGTTCTGGAAGTCTGAATGACTGAATTTTATTATTATTATTTTATCTCCTCAAGCAAGATTCCCAAAGACTGGGCCTATGGTTTGTTCAAAGTGCAGTATGTCTGTCTAGACATTTTTTTTTTTTTTTGCCCAGGAAATAAGGGTAATTTATGATTTGGAGAAGGACAGGTGAAAGCGTTTTCCTCTGGCGTTGTTTGTCAGACAGGCCTCCGGTTAGGGTGCCTCTGCTCTTTGACATGGAGGAGTTCCAAGCTGCTCATCTACGTGCCTGCAGTGGCAGCTCTGTGACCACAGCACTCTGACTGCTGTCGGCTTTCCTGTGTTGTGTGTCAGTGCTCAAAGTTGTCTTCCTCACCTGTTCTACGTCTGCTTCTGCTGATGGCTTAATAATATCTGCTTTCCTAACATTTCATCCTGGTCTCTTTGCTGTGGTTTGGGAATGGCACTTGGCCCGCATGAGGAGTCCACCTGTCTGGCATAGACCATGCCAACAAAAGGCGTGGGATCTTCAGTGACAGCGTCAACCACATAGGGCTTTTGTAAAGAAACTCAAACCATCCCTCTGTTACTTCTCCCTGAGCTCCTGTGTGTATTTTTATAAGCTGCATAGGCTAAAGATAGTTACTTTGTCCTCAGAATCTGGGGGAGTGCCATGGATGGGCTTTAGTGTTACAACAAAGGATTTAGATAAGATATTTTAAAAAATGAGCCTGTATGCTAGCCTGCTGTCTAAACTTCTGCAAGGAAGAGCCCTTAAACAGTTGGTTTAGGCTATCAGCAGTGCTCCTGGCTTCAGTGGTGCTGATTTCTATCTCTGAATGCATCTCAAATTTACAGGAGACATAAAGGTTTGAAAGTAAAGCACTTCTGATTGGGCGGAGTTATGTGTGTGAGACATTTGTTGGTGCTGCTTGATTTGTCCCAAATTCTGAAAAGGCCTGGGTTAGCAAATAATAGCCTTGTACTGGGGAGAATAGACGAGCAAGTTTCTAAAATCAACCTGGAGAGCAGGGTTTGGTACAGATGGAAATGTCAAACAGCAGAGGAAGAGAATTCAGCCAGGTCAGGGAAGAAGGAAAGAATTTAGCAGGAGGGAAGAAGGGGCACTTCCGGCTCCTCCCCTCATGTCGTTGTCAAACCTCATGGCCTGGGCAACCGAAAGGAGCAGCATGATGCTTGAGGAGAGCGGATGAAGGATGCCTTGTGTCTCACAGGGCACAGCCTGGGACACACACACACCTTGCACAGACGTTTCACTTGTAGTGTGGCATCAGGTGGCTGCAGTAGCTATGGCTGCAGGTAGGGGCCCCTTCTAATTGGTTGAGGAGTGACTTGCACTTAGGACAAACAAGTTGGTGTCTGTTGATGATGCCAACAAACTTTGTGTAAGGAAATTGGAGACTACCTCCAATTTAACTGACACACACTGGGCCACACAAAGGATGAAGAAGAGGAAGATTAAGGTGTTGAAAAACTCCTCTAGTGTTTACCTCTTGGGAGTTTTGCCTGAAGCCCCTCTGATGACTGATCTCAGCCACCACTGGACACATCGGGACCTTTGACCTCCAGGACTTAAGGAGGTGGAGAGAAGTGAGGCAGCATCAGTAAAGGGCTCCTGTCAGTTCATTCTAGGAATTCAGTATGAGTGACACAATTAAGAAATAGGTACCACAAATGTTTTTGAAGCCACAGGAAGTTGATCTACTAGCAGGCAGTGGTAGGGTTCACATCAGGAGTCCCTCAGCTGAGGGCACCACAGAGCAGTTGCACAGTGCTGGGGAGGACCCCGAGACTCTGTACACACAGCAGGTCTTCACTAGGAAACTCCAGCACAGGGAGCAGAGGGACAGCAGGACAAGTGAGCAAGAGCAGGACTCGACTGCTTTCACCCCTGGAGTCCAAGACCCGGGTGGAGCCTGGGAATTAAAGCCTAAATGTCTCCTGGACTCAACTAACAGCTTCTCATGGATCCCATCTCACTTGTTCATTAAAATATGAGACACTGAGAGCTAGGACTGAGACCAACCTGCAGGGAGAATTTTTCACTAAAAATCAACGACACGCGAAGCAGGTTAAATGTGTTGCTCCATGTCTTGCTGTGTTTGTTTTCTCATCTGTCTCTCTGCCCGCCCCCTTCCCTCTGTCTCTGGCATGTGCTCTCTTAGCATGTGTCTGGCTTTCTCTGATACACACACGCCACTTGCTTCACAGGAAAATGTAAAGCTGTCTTCAGGAGAACAGACTTTGGGAAGGATCTCCTCTGTCCCCCACTGTCCGTCCCCGATGCACAAGTACGGGGTTTGGATTACTCACTAAACAAGGCTACTGTCTCTCCACACCCCTCTGTTCTTGAATTTGCTGGTAGTATATCTCCTCCCCCGCTTCCCCTACTATGTCTATTTACAATCTCCTGGACAGCAACTAGGCAGAAGAGGCAGAAGGCATCTTAGCCAAACAGCACCTTGCTTCCCAGAAAAAAATCCGAGTGTTAAGAGCAGTGCATGCTGGCTGCTGTGGCTCCGCGTGCACTGAAGCTTCCCAGACACCAGGGAACCACGTGGGTTTAAAGTGTAGGCGGTGCCGACTCAGTGGGAGAGTCTCCCCTCCAGGGACTGTGTTGGCACTGTGCACACTGATTTGCTCTTGGGCTGCAGCTCTGAAGAGGGCACCAAGAGCAAAGCCTGTTTTTATCTGGTGGGGAACACTGAGTGTACTTCAATTCTATACATTCAGAGTGACTTGGACTGGTTCAAGTCCTGGCTGCTCCACTTCAGTTCCAGCTACCTGCTAATGCAGCTGGCAAAGCAGCAGAAGACAGCAGAAGTGCTTGCAGAAAAAGATACACAATCATATGTCCCCATATCATCTTGAAAAGAAACCCCTCCAAGTTTTGATGGTATGATACCATTACATTTTCATATTCTTTGTTCCAGGATAAATTTACATTTCTGTGACTATTCAATAATGCCCACTTCTCGTAATAGAATATGCAGCTGTATAAGCACAGCAAGCACATTGATTTCTGCAAGTAACTTGGCACATAATGACCTTTCCTGGTAGCAAGAGTTGGCTCGCTGTCAACATCTATCAGGCAAATGTAGAATCAAATGGACTACTGAAGAAGCGTCAGAGGAGAGGAACAGAGGAGGATGAGCAAGCTCAGGAGGCTGTTCTAAATCATGTTGGGTTCCCACATTCCTGACTCTACAGAGCATAGGAAGGGCTCTAAGCTATGGACCATACATGGCAGCAATCATCTCATTCTTGCAAGGGTCGCAAAATCCATCATAGGGCTGGATGCTAGTATAGAGTATTTGAAAATCAAAGCTTATTTCCCATAGGTTTGGCATTCTTATAAATCATCAC